GAAAAGTCAGTTATATTCTCTGCATGAGATAATAACGTACTTAAATGAAAAGTTAGATAGCTTTATTGAAATAATTCCAATATTTTAATTAGTATTTTGTCACTTCTTTTTTTAAATTTTTATATCTTTTTTGAATTATTGTCACTTTTTTTAAAAATTTATGTCATTCTTTTATTGTTTGTCACTATTTTTTTATTAAAAAAATTTGTCACTTTGTTTGAGCAATGAACATCATTTTTTAATAAAAATAACATTTTATGTCATTAAAGTCAATAAAAAAATGATACTTAACTTTTAGAAGTGACATCGTGTCACTTTTTAATAACAAAACTTACACTTAATTTTACATATATTTTTTTTCACTTCCAAAACACCTTTCATATGATTTTTCAAAAGACCTTCATTTTAGGGGAATTTTTTGTGAGGGAAAAATTCACAACTCAGGTTTTATCTATTCCCAAATAAAAAATCAGGCCCCAAAGTTTAGAATTGCAAAAATCAAGTTTTTCATGAATTAATTAATTATATTTCACAATTATTATATTAAATTAAATATTTAACTGTAATATAATATAATTAACCCACCCACCTCACCTCTATCTCCACCACCCCACTGCTCCAGCGACTTCTCCGGTGCTCGACGACTACTCTGGCGACTGTTATCCGGCCACACTTAATTTTGGCGATCGTTTTGCTGATGCTATCCGATTACTGCTCCGATTTCGAGATCACAGATATCATATTAAGTAGTTAAAATTTAATTTTCAGTCACAACTTATTAAATTAATTGGTCACAAATTATTTCAAGATCACAGATCTAAAAATTGAGTCATTCACAATTGACTTTATTGGTCACTGATAAAAAAATTACATGTCACAGTTTTTTTTTTTTTATGGAGGTCACGGATTTTTAATTGGTCACAACTTAAAAAAATTATTCCATATTTGTTGGTTACATGTTATATTTTCAGTCACATATTAACGAATTTTAAGGTTACGGTCCCATTCTCAGTACACTACCAATACTTGTCACAAGTCACAGATTGACCAAATGGTTGGTCACAGACACTTCATCCCATCCATCGAACCTGTCCCCAATCTCACTACACCACCAATAATTGGGCACAGGTCACAGATCGACCAAATACACATCATTCCATACTTGCCGCCACCGCCACAGTCACAACCACCCTCCAACATGACACCAACGACAATCGCCATCGTCGTCCCCTGCACAACACCACAATATCGTCGACCCCATCACACGAACGGTCATTTTATCGCCACCACAAGAACACAAGCTAACCAGCCACAGAACACACGACAAGATCAAAAACTGAACCCAATCAGCTGACCTTCGCCACCTACATGACACACAAACAAATCCGCCCGCAACAGCCCCCCCAACAACAACAGATCCGCCGCCCGCAACAGCCAACCACCAACAATAGATCCGCCACCAACAACAGCCAACAACCAATCCGCCACCCACAGCAAACAACAACAGCCAATCCGCCACAACCATACACCCCAGGAGCGTCGCATAACAGACTACCAGTACCAGCTGTTCGTCAGAGTCTACGCATAACAGAAATTATAAGAAAGAGTAAAGGAAAAGAACAATGTATTTTGCATATCACTGCATTAAGGCACATAGGGATGGAGAGGGAGGGGGAAGGTTACGATTGCAGTATCGTCACAGCGACGTTGCTGTAATCGCAGCAGAGAGAGGGAGGGTGAGGAGAAAGAGGGCGGCGATGGTGGCGTGGTGGAGAGGTGATGGCGGTGACGACGTGGTGGGAGAAATGTGAAAGGAGAGAAATGAAAATGAAATGGATTAAGTTAGAGTTTTGGGTAGATTTAGGATTTTATAGTTAAAATAAATTTGGTGGGAGTAGGTAGTAGGGTGAGTATATATGTTATTTTAATTTTATAATATCATTATTAATTAAAAATGATACAACCTGATTTTTGATTAAAAAAAACTTAAACCTGATTTTCATAAACTTAAAAGTAAACTGTTGGTTTTATGTAATTATCCATTTTTGTAAGTTGCCTATTATTATGTGGAAATTACACCCCCACCCTATCTTTGGAGATATGAATTCTAAAATCAGGTGGGATACTTTTTCTTTCAAAAATCAGAAGTTGTACTTTAATTAATATTTTTATAAAATAGTTATATTTACCAATCCTAACCCACAACCGGTCTTCCCCTGTCTCTCTCTCCGTCGCCTCCTCCCTCCCTCCTCCTCCTCTTCCTCCCCCCCTTTTCCTCATTTTCTCTTGCTCCTCCTCCCTCCTACATTCTCCTCATTGTCGCAGCGTCGAACGCTACTCACGGCAGCGTCGAACGCTGTTCTGCTGTTGTCGCCGGCGTCAGAGATGGGCGGATCGTCGGCCAAAAAAGAGTGATGCAGTGCCGACGAGATTTTTATCTGTTTTGGTGGTGGTTGACGGTAGCAGATCTGATGGTTGAGGCTGGTGTGAGGTGGTTTTTGTGGTTTGAGTTTTTCTGTTGGCTGTGCGTTCTCGTCTCGATGGTGGTTGTGATGTCTATGGTGGTGGCAGCGTTACTGGTTGTGGTGGCGGTGGTTGGTGCTTTAGTGGCGGGATAGGACATGGGTGCTGGTGTTGTAGTGATGGTTTTGGTTTTTTTTTTTTCCGATTGTGGTTTTCAGATCGTAAGGTGGTGGCGGTGTGGCGGCACAGTGGTCTGGCAAGGTGGTCCTGGATTTTTAGTTTTTGTTTATGTTTGTGATTTTCAGATCGTGGCGTAGTGGTGACGTGGCGGAGACTAGCTGTGACCGTATAATGTACTATCCGTGACCTTAAAATTTGACAATTTGTGACTAAAAATTAATCAGTGACCTCGAAATAATTCGCAACCTCCAAAAATTTTGATCTGTGACCGATAAACAAATTGTGATTTATAAATTTTTTAAACTGTGACCTCGAAATAATTCGTGATGCATAAAATTTTTGATCTGTAATCTCGAAATAATTCGTGACCTATAAAATTTTTTATTTGTGACTTCAAAAATAATCCATGGCCAATTAATTATGTACCTGTGACCATTAATTGTATAATTATAACATCATTATGATTATAATTAATTAAATTATAATAAATTTTAATAAAAATCTGATTTTTGAAATTTCAAACTTATTTTCTTAATTTTGAAATATGGGATACTATCCTTTTACTTATGAATTTTTCTTTAGGGAACAATACATTTATAAGGTATTTACTTTACACCTTTTCAAAAATACAAAAACAAGTTTGAAAATTCAAATCAGGTTTTTTTAATTTTTAATTAATAATTAATGAATTACTAAATCAATTTATTATTAAATATTTAATTCTAATTTAATATAATTACCCCACCCCACCTCCACCACCCAACCGACTTTCTGAGCACCACTATTCTTCGGCGACTATGTCGGCGACCGTTCCGACGACTTTTCCGGCGACTGGTCCGATTCTAACGAATATGTTAAGGTCACAGATCTACAATTTGGTCACAATTCAAAATTTTCATAGGTCACAAATTTGTTTATCGATCACAACTTAGAAATTTTTAAGTCAAAATTTTTTCATCGGTCACAAATCACAAAATTTGTAAGTCACAATACTTATTTACGGTTACAAACATCCCATTAATTGAACGTATATTATATGTTAGGTCACAATTTATCAAATAATTGGTCACAAATTAATAATTCGTAGGTCACACGACATGTATTAGTCACAGTTATCTAATTCACGAGTCACAATCCAACGAAATTATTGATCACAGACAACAAAATCATTTGTGACCACCACTAAATTATTTGTGACCACCAATTCAACACTGCCTCCATCAGCGGCACCACCATCGTCGCCGCATCTCCACCACCGTTGCCCGCAGAAACACAACTAAACTGCATTATCACCACCGCAGCGGACAAACCACCCAAACCACCACCCAAACACTCCAAAACCGCCAGCATCCTACACTACCGCCAGCACCTTAAACCACCTCCAGCATCATACTCTACCACCACCACCACATCCCATCCCGCCACCATCGCCAACACGACCACCACCAACACCACCTCCAACATCACACTCCACCACCAACTGTAGCAAGATCTGAATTTGTAGCCCCAGCCATCGCCATCGCCGCCACCAACACCATCGTTAACACCATCACAACCGCGGCGAGATCTAAATCTGAATCCGTATCCACCACCACCTCACCACCAACCCTAACACCATTAACACCACATTGCCCCCAACAATTACAGAACACAAATCAATGATGGTCATCTTACCAGACAAATCCCCAAGCTGCAGCAACGATCTGAGATGAGAGAACTGCGACGAAGGCCGATGGGATCGTCGCGTGAAACTACCAGAAAGCCTGTACTGGCGGCGGAGGTTGTCACTTGTTTTCCTCTCCTTCTCCTGCTTCTTCTTGTCTGCGCGACTTCTCCTCTGTATTTTTTTTTACAGCAACGAGCCAATTGGGGCGGTGGAATTAGGTGATAATGATGGTGGAAGGTGTTGCAGACGAGTAAAGAGTAAAGATGAGAGGGGGAGATGAGGGGAATAAGAGCAGTCGCCGCCGTCGCCGTAGAACAGAGAGACGGGAGAAGAGGCGATGAGAGTTGAGAATTGATTTTAGGGTTTGATTGGGGTGGATAGGGTAGGAAAGTATATATAATTAAAAATAAAAAAATGAAAAAATGTTTTTAAATTTTTAATTAAAACCTGATTTTTGCATAATGAAATTTGATTCAAGATTTATGAAAATGGAATGTTAAAATTGTAATTTCCTCTTTTCTCTGTTATTATCCCTTACGATCCAATATGCCATGCTCGGTCCAATACAAGTTATCATACCCCAAAGTCGGCCCAAGTTATATCCCGAAATTGAAGAACGCAAACTAACCAGCACACAGAAAACACGACAGGACGAAACCTGAACCCAAACCGCCGACGTTCGCCACCTGCCATGACACTGTTTGTTCTACCTCGTACTCTCCGAGCTTCCCTCCTCCCCCTCTTCAGCCGTTCCCTCTCCACCACTAGTTCTTTTGATCACTCGATACCGCCGCCACCTACTCCACCCCAATCGGAATCCCACAAAAGCCCAGCCCCAAATTACCCAATCCCCAAACCGCGAACTCGAACCCCACTGGAAAAACAATTCGAGTCATGGCTCCAAAACCTCAAATGTGGATTCACTCCATCGGACGTAGACCAAGCCCTCCGTGCCCAGTCCGACCCGGACCTCGCTCTGGACATTTTCCGATGGACAGCTCAGCAACGTCATTACAAGCACACCCACCTCACTTATCTTACAATGATTGAAATTTCCATCTCCGGCAGGAGATACCGCGTCGCCGAGACTTTAATGGAAGAAATTCTCGCCGGCGCGTGCCCGTCAAGCCTTCCCTTGTTTAACACCATGATCAAATTCTGTTGTGGTCGTCGTAAACTATTGTTTAATCGGGCTTTTGATATTTATAAGAAAATGCAGAAATCTGATGATGCTAAGCCGGATCTAGAGACTTATACTTTGTTGTTCAATACCCTTTTGGGAAAATTCAATAAGCTGAATGTGAGTTATGTGTATTTACATGCGGTTAGGTTGCTAGCCAGGCAAATGAAGGCATCTGGGGTTATTCCAGACACATTCGTGTTGAATATGATTATTAAGGCCTATTCGACATGTCTTGAAGTGGACGAGGCGATCCGGGTCTTTCGTGAAATGGGTTTGTATGGATGTGAGCCGAATGCTTTTACATATAGTTATATGGCAAAAGGGTTGTGTGAGAAGGGGAGGGTGAATCAGGGTTTGGGGTTCTATAAGGAGATGAGAATGAAAGGGCTGGTGCCGAAGGGTAGTACTTGTATGATATTAATCTGTAGTCTGGCAATGGAACGTAGGTTTGAGGATGCAATTGAGGTTGCATTTGATGCATTGGGCAACTCCATGTCACCTGATCTGTTGACATATAAGACTCTCTTGGAAGAGATGTGCAAGGATGGGAGGGGGAACGATGCGTTTGAGCTACTTGAAGGATTCAGAAAAAGAGATGGTTTAATGAATGAGAAGACTTACAATACTTTGTTGAATGGACTACATTTTCTAAGTAGAGAGTAGAAGTGCTTAATCTTCTCAACTAATTTCCAAATGTCGTGCGGAGATTTTTGGTTAGGCTGTTCAGGTTTTGTTGCAACAAGAATGCATCTTAAGCTGATCCACTTTGTGAGGTGGAAGTCCCCTCTGAGCTTCCTGTTTGTCTTATTTGGATAGCTCAAGTGGCGTACTGGAAGAAAGAAAGATGGAATCGACAGGTTATCTCTGAAGCTATGCGAATGAGGGCAAAAGCTGTGCCACTTACAACCGTGTCTAAGATGCTGCATGCGGAGTGGGATAGCTTTTACTAGATAATATTTCTGTAGATTTTATGTTTGTTCTTGCAGGGATTGTAAGTTTTTGTGTACTTAATAATAGAATTCTTGATTTATGCCAAATAAATAAAATTGCTTCATGACTGCAGGGAGTTCTGAATCTCTTTAAAGTTAGAAATCTAGTTATTTTTGTTGTGAACATCTGTAAAATTGTTTTCCTGATTCATAATCCTTACTATTCTATAAGAACCAGTTTTTCCATTTTATATACAACTTTGTTGTATACAAAGTCGTATACAACATCGTTTCGACGTCTTATTGGACTAAATGGGGGCCTTTTCCTTTTTTTCTTTTGGTCGTACAAAGGACATGTCTTGTAATTTCCACTAATACGGTTTGTTGTGTTCATGTGATGCGGGGTGTTCTACGCATAAACCTGTAAACATTTCTTCCTTCTCCAACCCAATTCCTTGTTTGTTGAGTTCCATATATGCATAAATCTTATTGTCTTTGTAGGACAAACAAATTGCAAGTACAGCTCAAACGGGTTCTTTTCCATGGTACTGTGTTAGATTATCCACCTCATCGTTATTCTAGAGTCTTCTATAGTTTGTTAGTTTGTTAGTTTTTTAGTCTATAAATTGAGCACTTTGTATGCATTGTAATTAATTGGATTTTATTCCAATCTTCAATATGAAATCATCATGTTGAATCTATCATTTTCTTCCTTGTTTTTAATATCATCATTTTCTTCAATTTCAGTTTCTACTCCCAATTTCTAATATGGTATCTGAGCAAAAAAAAAAAAACTATGGAATCATCATCTGTAAATCTCTATTCTAGAAAGCGAAAGAAGCAATCTCCATCATTATCCAATCCTTTAATCGGAAACTTCGCGCGTAGCAAGTTTCAAGAGTATGTCCACCGCAATCGCTACGGCTTGACCCGTCCCGATGCTACTAGAAAATCGAACTTCCACTCTTGTTCGATTAGCTCAAACCCATTTCCGAGGAATCCTAGTTCAGTCCATTTCCAATTTATCGGCACTTCAATTTACGTCCCCGGAATTTCATTTGGATCTGGATGAAATGTTCTACGCCGGCTACTGCGTTAATTGTCCTATCTTTACAATCAATTGCACAGGTTAAACTTTGCATTGCCTGGGTAATTATTTGTGGATTTTGAGCTGATGAAGAACGAAATGATAGAGTGCAGTGTATGGATCTGGATGTGGGTGACTGGTTGTTGCAGGAGACTTCAATTTTTTAAACAAAACATGATAGTAGCTTGGCTCACTATATGCTCGATGAAATGTCGGAACAGATTTTTTCTTATTTTGAGGATTGAGATTTGAGGGTAGCCGAAAGTACTACCAGCAAACTTTCAAAGAACTTGCTGGATGAATTGCGTGTTCGTATTCATCCAAATTTTCAGGTTTCAAATTCATCTATTGATGTTGTCCATTTATGGATCTCGTTCAATTATTCCTCATTAATGAATTATTGCGCCATTAATGATGGATCCAAATCATTTCCTGCCTCATGGAGCAGATCAATTACCAAGAAATGTTTTCTTCAATTCTCTCTAGCTTTGTGCTAGAGACGTTTTCATGGAATTTATTTCGATTCCATTGTCTATTTTTTTCTCCTTTTATGGATGATAATTCATGGTCACTAACCTATGCCAAATATGAAGATAACTTTGGCTTCAGATCCAGCCTTGTTCTGGAATTTTCTCTTCACCAGTACAACTTCTCAACTGGAGAAAGGGCAGCTTCAATATGTTGCACACGAGCCACCAGTTTATGGCTTCAAATGTGGAATCAACTACCAGCCACCTACTACTGTTCCTGGTCGAGATTTGGCTAAAGTTCATAGGGCTGTTCGCATGATTTCTATCTTAACGGTAGCTCGTATAATGCTGATTTTGATGGTGACGAAATTAATGTCCATTTCCCTCGAGATGAAATTTCTCAGGCTGAAGCGTACAACATTGAAAATGCTAATGAACACTACATTGTTCCAACAAGGGGTGATACTATCAGAGGCTTGATTCAGGATCATATTGTGCACCCTGTACTATTAAAAATCAGGAAAAACTTCCAAAGGATTACTTTACTGATAGTACCTACAAAAATGAAGAAGAAGACGGATCAGAATGCTAAACATAAGTTGTTAATTTAGAAAAATGAACTTGTGCGTGGTGTGATTGACAAGGCTCAGTTTGGAAAGTTTGGTTTGGTGCACACAATACAGGAGCTCTTTGGGTCTAACAGCGCAGGAATTTTTCTTTCTGCTTTAAGTTGTATTTTCATGTCCCACACTTTAATCTTGCATCCGCCTACTTTCATCTTCAAGATGGACTATTGTTGATCTCTATAGTCCATCTTGAGGGGTGTGTGTTAGAATATCCACCTCATCTTTATCTAGAGTCTTCTATAGTTTGTTAGTTTTTTAGTCTATAAGTTGAGCACTTTGTATGCATTGTAATTAATTGGATTTTATTCCAATCTTCAATACGAAATCATCATGTTGAATATATCATTTTCTTCCTTGTTTTTAATATCATAATTTTCTTCAATTTCAGTTGCTGTTCACAATTTCTAATATACTGTTGTTGCAATAAAATACAGTGTTGCAGTCGATCAATGTAGTGATACAGAAATTGATATTGAAAGTCGTAGATTCAATGACACTGGATGAATTCAGAGGCCGGTCATAACATAATTCAAGAGCAAAATCTTTCTCTCTCTGTCGTTTTGCTTAGTCCCTCTTTTCAAAAGATGTCAAAATCACGTGTCCGTGGTACTCGCTCTTTTTTTTTGTGATCTTCTCTTTTGGTGAACAAGAATATCTATAAGCACAAGAAAATGATAGTCCTTTTTGAGTCTGACAGAAGAAAAATGGATTCAATGCTTTTACTCAACGGTGATCTCAATTTCGATCCATAAGAGGCGGTTTTCTTCTTCAATAATTGTTTGATAGAGATCTGAAATGTGGTTCTATGTCAAGTAAGTTCTTTTGTGTTTAGGACACTGTCCATAGTCGAACATACCTCTTCCTAATTTTATTGCTGACAAAAAATGAAATCAGTAATTACATGTGTTTACAAGAATAGCGATAGGGTGAAAGAATGGAAAGAAAAGGGAAATCTGCAACATCTTTTCAGAGACAGCCAAATGCATCTTTAATTGCTACTATTATAGAAATCACTGGTGAACATGGAAGAACAAGAAGTGTCTTCATTAGCTTTCCATCTCTGCAATGCTTGTGGGAGGCTCATGTGAAGATCAATGCCGAAACTTTCCTCCTCTTCCAGGGTCGGTCTCCAGTGGTCCACCAATGGAGACAAGGCATTCACGACATGGCTCATGTGCGGCCTCTGTTGTGCTTCCCGGCCTGTGCAGTATCCGGCCAGTTCTGCTACTTTCCAAATACTTGAGAAGGTTTCTTCGTCTGGCTGCAGTGTCGGGTCAAGTGAGGCTCTTACGCTGTCTTTGTTTTGGATTAGCTTGCGGAACCAGGTCACTAGATGGATTTGGTCATCCGGTAATGAGTCCTCTAACGCTTTACGGCCAGTGATTATTTCCATCAGAACCACCCCAAAGGCAAAGACATCAACTTTTGTTGTCACTCTTCCTGTGGCTGTTTGGAATTGAAGATGATGGTTTTGTTAGTTAGTACTAGAAACCTGCCTAAACTTTCTTAAACATGGTTTGTACTAGGAGTAGAGTTTTAAGAGTGAAGAGCATATTACTGTCTGAAAGTCGTGTTCTAATATTTGACATAAATAAAAAAACTGATACATACCAGCATACTCTGGTGCAAGATATCCAAAGGTACCGGCTAATCGAGTCTCGACTGAGTACTTTCCGTCTGGAGCACACCTCACCAAACCGAAATCAGAAACCTTAGCCCTCATGTCGTCTCCCAGAAGAATGTTTGAGGGTTTCAAATCTCTATGAATGAAACTCTGCTGCGCTAAGCTGTGTAGATATTCGACTCCTCTGGCAACATCTACTGCTATTGTCATTCTTTGGTTCCAAGTTAGTGGCGTAAGGCCCAACTCCTCCCAATGGAACAAATGCTGCCCTAGTGAACCTTGTGGCATGTGCTCGTAGACCAAAAGTCTCTCATTCCCGTTGTCACAAAATCCATGAAGCGCGACTAGATTTCTGTGTCTTACCTTTGTAAGCACTTCGATTTCAGCTTTGAATTCGTTCATCCCCTTATCGCTTACAATACTTGATTCCATCCTTTTAACTGCTATTTGTGTCCCATCGTGGAGTTGTCCTCGATATACAACTCCAAATCCGCCCCTACCCAAAATGTTGGTTTCACTGAAGCTATTTGTAACTTCTCGAAGAACTTCGATTGGGATCGTCACATTCCCACCATCATGCACATGATAATCACTCTTTTCACTGTTACTTCCGATGGGAGTCTCGATTGTACCTGTGCTATTAACATTTTCACTCGTCTCATTCTCCTTCTCGCTATTTCCAAGTTCACTGCCATTAACCCATTTGTATTTTGCATTGCGCTTTTTAGTGTAGTACCTATAAATCGCTAAGCACAAGGCCAGTATCACTAAAATGGCAGCAACAACAGAAACAACAATCATCCATGCTGATACATAAGATTTGGTCCCATTTTTCACGCCAGATGGATTATTTGCTACACTAGGAGGGGAAATAGGGGGCAAATCTATCCCAATGTACGGATTTCCATTTGTTTTTAGTGTAACGCCCGAAGAAAATTGTGGGATTTTTCCCGAAAGATTGTTGTTAGAGACATCAAGAAGCTGGAGCTGCTTCAAACTGGTCAAGCTATCTGGTATGGTACTGGTAAGGTTGTTATCATTCAAAAATACAGTTTTTAATTCAGTGAGATTGGCAATGGCAGGCGATATGGTCCCGGCCCAATTCTGCTTAGCAAAATTGATAACAGCCACACTTCCCTTCACATCACAGGAAATATGTATCCAATTTTGGCAAGGATTATTCCCTTTCCAAGATTGTGCCAATGCCATTGGATAATCCAATGCCCCTACAACCTCAAGCAAAGTAGTTACCTGCGGATCACATGGACCTGGACTACGATTACAGAAATTGTTAGAAGTTCCGAGACTCACCTGGACACCATTTGAAAAACCAGGTTGTGGACCCTGGAAGACATTGTTCTGCAATGCGACAGTTTTGAGCTTTGGAAGCTTTGTAAAAGAATCAGTAATCACACCAGTGAGAAAATTATCGCGAAGCTGAATATCGTACAATTCTGTACACGCAGAAAGATCTGGAATTGGGCCAGAAAACTTGTTGACATGAAGCCAAACCACTGTCAACTGTGACATCGTCCTCAGGACATCTATAGTACCTGAAAGTCCTAGCACCTGATTGTTGAGCCATAGATTCTGAATCCCGGAATTGGAAAATGAACGAGGCAATGAACCTGTCAGGTTATTATATGAAAGCTTCAAATTCTGTAAACTTGGAAAGGATCCAAAAATGTCTGGAATTTCACCTACAATATTAGCCTTTCCTGCATTAAAACTAACAAGGGATGTTGAATCCTTGAGGTTGTTAGGGATTTTCCAGGAAGGGAGATTTGAGTTATTATTAATGCTGAATGTCTGTAAACTTGTTAATCCTGAGAGAAAATCAGGAGGGACAGAACTGAAGTTATTTCCGTCAAGATTGACGTCTTCGAGGGAAGCGAGGTTGGACAAAGACGGTAAAGGGCCCGAAAGGATGTTGTCTTGAAGATGAAGAGATTTGAGATTGGAAAGTTGGTTCAAATTTGATGGAATTTGTCCTGTGAGAGATTTGAAAGGGAGGCTAATTGAGCTGATTTTACTTGATGAATCACAATTGACGCCTTGCCATTTGCAGGGGTTGGAGCCGGACCAACCTGGAGGAGACGGGGAGAGAGATTTAGCTAAAGCGGCCATAATGGTGGCATCGTCGGCAAAGACATGGTAGACGAAGGTGGTGATTAGGAGGATTATGGAGGATTTATATCTCTTTTTGTTCATTGGAGCGGTGGTGTTTTTTTCCGGCGGTGGAGGGGATGGTGGTGGTTGGTTCTCTCTCTAAGACAAGAGAGAGAGAATAAAATTTTGCATGGTGGCGGAGGGTGTGTTGTGGATGCTTGAATTGAGGAACAGAAGGAGCGCGCAGTTAGCTCGTTATTGTTAATATTCCCGTATCCAAACAGACCCCAAAAGTGGGAACGACGCCGTGTCAGTTTATTCAATTCCTCAATCCACGTGGCAAAATATGATTGGCAGTTTTAGCATTTTATTACGTTGAAGCCTACATCCGCTATTTATACAGAGCCGGCATTCATAGAGAGAAAAACAATCAAAAAGAGAGACAGAATTTATTTTTTTTTCCTCATAATGAAACTAGTTTTCCTCTTTTTGGTATTTATAACATTAGGTAAATTAAATTTGAGCTCAATTTGGATGCAATTTAGCTTTGTAATTTATTTAATTTCTCTTGTTGATTACTTATTTTCTATTGATTTTTTGAGATCTGAGTAATTTACAAATATTGTTGTTTAAGCTGAATCAGCTCAATGCTGAATTTTTAATATGGAGTTATGATGTGCTTTTTCAATTTTCGTTCTGTTTAGTTACGGCGAAGAAATCCGGGGATGTAACGGAGCTCCAGATCGGTGTGAAGGTAAATTATTACGAGATCTGTTTTGTCAGAGTACGATCTTTTTGGTTCTTCTATACGAAAATGCTGAGATTATTAGTGCAGAAGAAATATAGTTTATTGGTAATTTCACGAGTCCTAATTACTCAGTGTCGTAGAACTGCTGAATCTGTTGGCTGCTATTTTATGATTTACTAAAACGCATAATTACATTTATTAGGATTTCTGTAAGTAATTGATTTTCAATTAGTTTGAATTAGAATGGTCCTCCAGTCATAATTAAGTATAGATGTATAAATAATGGGGTTAAATTCAATGCCTTTGCACAATCAGGTTTGGTTTCAATATTGTTTTGATCTTTTTTCTTTTGCAATATTTGATTAGCTTGCCCTTTATTTTGAAATATCTTTAATTATGTGATCGTTGACACGGTTGAGTGTATATCTACTAGCTGAAAACATCAAAGCCGTATATTTTTAGTTGTTGATTTCAATTTTTTAACACTGGCAAAGAGATTCCAATATTAGATACTGAGGTAATCTTGATTTCTGGAGAAGATCACGTAGAGCTGAATTTTTAAACAGAAAGACTTTTGGAGAAGTTCAATAAAGGTTAAAAAAAAGTGTTTTTGCTTTCTGGGAAAACGTGTTGCCTGTATGGTTATTTATATCATTTCATGAGTTTCCATGTCCCCTTTAACTTGCATATCACAATTATGAATGGCAACTATTTATAAGAATTAAGAAGAAAATAATGAATTTAGATTATCTCTAGTATATCTTTCTTGGAAATGAAAATGGGGTTATAGGGCTGTTACTTAAGGCACTGCAGGGAGTAGAAGACTGGAATCACTAAGGCCCCATTCTCTTTATCGTTTTCAAGCCGTTTTCTGTTTTCGATTTTCCAAAACACCAGAAACGCGTTCTCTTTCCTATTTTCAAAAACGCGTTTTGCAAAACAAGTTAAAAATTTATGAAGAAAACACAAAACGGCAAATTTGTCGTTTTGGGTGTTTTCAGTTATAACTTGGCCAAAGTTTTCAAAACTTGTTTTCGTTGTTTTCAATTATTTTCACCCCCAACCACCACTGTTGCTGCCTGCAAAACACCACCAGCCGTCGCCGTCGCTGTCACCGCCTCAACATCACCCTAACCACCACCACCATCGCCGGAACCACCTCCACCGCCACCGCCACAACCAACCACCCACGGACCTCCATTTTTTCCGAATCTGTCTGCTTCAATTCCACATCCCCACAACATTTAATCATCAAATTGGCCCCAAGAGTGTCTTCAGCAGCCACATAGAATCATAGATTACATGTCAATTGCACCAATTAATTTAGAAACTGCTCCAATTTTCGAATCCACCGCCACCGCGACCTTCCCCTCACCTCCATTTCCCAGCCGTCCCCTTCCCTCACCTCCACACACAACACGCCCACACCCAAATGGGTCGTGTGATCCGGGTACAGCTAGCAAGATCCGTTTTCAAGTCTTATACCCACCACCGGAAGGGTCCGACCAGATTCTGTTCCCTCGACTTCGGCGAACGCAATGGCTACCTGAAGGGGGTGGTGACTGAAATCATTCACGATCCAGGCAGTGGTCCCCCCTTGCTCGCGTTACCTTCAATTTTGGATGGGAGGAAGAGAGATGGACGAAGACAGATGGACGCCGGGAAAGAGAGATAGAGAGACGGGTGGGAGGAAGAGAGATGGAAGAAAATGAGTTGAAAGAGAACACGTTTTTGATTTTTGGGTTTTTGAAAATAATTTTTCAAAATGACAAAAAAAACACATTTTCAACAATTTCGAAATGGACACTCAAAACACAAAACTCAAAATGATTTCAAAACTCAAAATAGAAAACTGAAATACAAAGAGAACACTACCTAAACAAATCGTGATTTTCTTAACATAATTTTGATATTATCTTTCACTATGAAAGATCAATTATTCAATATTTGTTGAATATGTTAATCTGTCTTCTGTTTTCCTTTTTCTATCTTTGCTCGTCACTTGTATATAACGATCCTGTTTTTGTCTTGCAGTATAAGCCTGCAACTTGTGAAGTTCAGGCTCACAAGGGCGATAGAGTGAAAGTACACTATAGGGTGAGTAGAATTACACTTCTTTTATACTGCTCCTTTTCTTAAAATCGTAACATAAATCAATAACGCTTTCTTCTTTATCTCCTCTTCTTTGCTTTATCTTGGAGGAAATTATCTCTAGTAATTAGAATATCAATTCCAAGCTGTTATGGATTATCTTCACTATTCTTACATTTTTTTTTTTTTGGGAACATGAGTGATTGAACGCTCATTCCCTTGTTTGCTTGAGCTGACAGTTAAATGCTAGTGCATGTACTTGGCCAAGAAAGGACACAAAATTAATTTTGTAATGGCTGATTGCAGAAATTATACCAAGTAGCCATTTATCACACACACACACACACACAGGTTTCCTCTTTTGACATGGACAATTAGATTATCATCTCTAGCTGTTATTTTTGAATTATGTATTAGATATTTACCTATATGGGTTTTTTAAACTGACTTTAGTTCACCATATGAGCTTTGGGTATTATATCACGGGAGAACTTTTCAATTATGATATTTCTTTTCCTTCACTGACGTGAGTGCAATCTGCAGGGAAAGCTTACAGATGGAACTGTTTTTGATTCCAGCTTTGAAAGGGGTGATCCAATTGAATTTGAGCTTGGTAGTGGTCAAGTGATTAAAGGTGGTTAACCCATTACTCATTTTGTGTCATTCTTATTGTTGTAGCAGTGCCTCCTTTTATGCTATCTAGTGAGTAAATAAAACTTGAAGAAAGCACAATTGATCGGAATGTTTTTATTGGGACTTGCTGTCCTTGGTTTAAAAGCACATCCTTTGTGACAAAATAGTAGTCTTATTGCATTGTTGACATTTAGCCTTTTTTATCTGTTCAAGCATATATCGTTATTTATGCCTGTATGGAATTCATATTGAGCCTTTACACAAAAAAAATAATAATAATAAAAGTTCATATGTGAGGACAGCAGACCAAACATGGAATAGCTCAGCCCTTTAGTTTTATGTAGGAAAATCTGTGGAAAGTGGATGTTGTTGAACATCTCATCTAAAAGTTTAAGCTATTAGAGGGACTCTCGTGTATTCATTTAAAATCTTGTCTCCAACCCACCTTATATTTGTTCAAAGGTCTGACATGCACAAATTTTAAAAATGTCTTGTCTGTGAAATTATCTCTTTTGCTTGGCTATGATATCGTGTTAATCATCTTATCTAAAAACTTAAGCTACTAGAGGAGAGCCTTCACGTGTTCATTTAAATCTTGTCAAATTTCAAGTCAAGTTGGTCACTGGAATTGCTTTGCCTATCAAGTATGGGCCAAAGCCGCCAAACAGCTCATATGCGAGTACTTGGTACTGCCATTGGATATTTCTGTCCCAGCCCAATTTGAAGTTGGCGTGTCTGGACCTGGCTGCTATTATCAAGTCAACATTCTCCAGGGCCCAAGCCTTGACCACAAAGTTGCCTCTTCGTTATTACGATATTTTTATACTTACAGTAACAGTTTGAATATCTAAAACAATGTCCACTGTGAAAGTTTCTTTTATTAAATCAAATTGTTGTGTTGCAGGATGGGACCAAGGGCTCCTAGGAATGTGCTTAGGGGAGAAGAGGAAGTTGAAAATTCCTTCTAAACTTGGTTATGGGGATCAGGGGTCCCCTCCTACCATCCCAGGTAATCAACTCAATTTTTTCTTGACACTTCGCTTCTTGCTATAGTATCATACTGGATAGAATATAAGGAAGCTATAGTATGAGCTGATTTTTGTTGGTTTAGTCGCTTGTATATTCTTTTGCTGTAACTCAATTGCATTGAAGCCTGTTTCCTGCTATAATATTAGAATTCACTACCTGTCATGCCATCATTTTTACTTTTGCTAAATTGTTTAAAACATATTCCCAATTTTTACCATTTAAAATGTTAAAAGTTCAGTCACCTTCCTCTTTTGCTTCTCAGCATAATGTATATTCTCTTCACCATTTCAGGGGGTGCTACACTTATCTTTGACACAGAGCTGGTAGGAGTCAATGGGAAAACATCCATTGGGAAATCAGATGGCAGTGAACTGTAACTTAGGAGCCCTTCCTAGAGTTCCTGGTAGCCTCTTGAGAGTTCTCTAGTCTTAAACAGACCAATATTTTGTTCGGTTATTTTGCATTTTGCTTACGTTGAATTTTGTGTTTAGTTAAGGAGTTTCTGCGTCTGATTTTGAATATGGTCATATGATATTTTGTAAGCACTGCTTATGTTGCCGTGCATTGCAGTGGAATAAATGTCATATTCTCTTATAAAATGAGATACATTTTAATTTAGTGGATAGCATTGTCACATTAGATGTTGATTGCTGATAAAACAACTATACTAATATAACTCAGCACAAAATATATATAATATGACACGAATAAAAGGAAAAATATAAAATCTGTATAACCCGCACTAAAAGTCTTAATTAAAGATAAAATTCTTACCGTTCATTCAAACTAAACTTGTGTGTGACTCGATAAATTATTTATAAATGTTCAAATCAATTTTTCGTACACATTTTAAGGAATATATAAGTACTACACTCATCCACTCTTCATTTTTATTTATAATTTAAATTTTTTATAAATACTTTGCTTTAAATTCAAATAGTGAAAAGCAAACCCTCATGAGATAACACTTTTTTTGTTAATATTCTAAAATGCAGATTATGAGGGAGTAAATTGTTGAGTAGTATAATTTGAAGGAATTTTGGATTAAAATATAAGGTTATGCTACATGTAAATTATGATATACATAATGGTGTCCATAATGTACATGTAGCGCCCGGATCACCTGGCCCACGGGCACTCTCCCCAATAGAAGGGCACCACATTACATTATGGACACCATTATGTGTACCATAATGTACATGTAGCATTATTTTAAAATGTAATATTATAAGTAAAACCTCAATAAAACGAAAGGGTCGTACCACACTTTTTATTTCTTGTATCACATTTTAATTGCAGTCAAGGTTCTTAATACTATGTTCTTTACAATTTTTAGTATTATTCTTATTCTCAAACTTTTCATTAGTAAACATATTTTGTGTTAGATAATAATTTTATGTCCAAAAGGTCGTTAAAATTGTGTAAAACAATTTATTTTTCATCATTTCTTAAAATATAAATAAATAAAAAGTGTGAATTTTTTTTTTCATTTCAAAACATGAAAATAAAATATTTTGATTTAAATCTTCGTTAAGAACGAAATGTACTAAGTAATCGAAGGTTAAAGATAAGAATTCGATGAAAAAAAGTTAAAAGAAATAATTGGTATAATGAACAAAGATTAAGGAGGTTAATTACGATTCGAAACCCCAGGTCACACTCAACGCAAGCACACACTGAATAAACCCTTGTAGAACTCTCTGGGCCTTCCATTTTCTCTCACTTTTTGAGAAGCGGATCTGAGCGCCGCCCCTGTTCAATTGGAAATTTTGTTGTCCTTGTTGATCACGTTTTAGAGAAAAGATGGATGAGGATTTTGAGATGCCACCACCGGAGGGTATGGATGACATGGATCTGCCGGAAGACAGTTCCTACATGAAGGTTGGGGAGGAAAAGGAGATCGGAAATGAAGGATTGAAGAAGAAGCTTGTCAAGGAGGGGGAAGGCTGGGATACCCCCGAAAATGGTGACGAAGTTGAAGGTAAATCAGCAATTTGCTCATACCTTGCTAATTATTTGATTGTATTGTGTGAATGATGATTTTTGTTGGAAATTTTTCAGTTCATTATACTGGAACCCTGCTGGATGGTTCTAAGTTTGACTCCAGTCGTGATAGAGGGACGCCATTCAAGTTCACTCTCGGCCAAGGTACCTCGATTTTACGTGATGAAATATTTTTATTTGTTGAATAAAATTGAAACTTGAGGTGGAAATTTTGTTTTAGATTAGTATTTCGTGTACAGATTCTTGTTTGTGCTTTCAAGGTTTTAATGTTAGAAGATAGTAGTAGTATCTTTATATTTATTTTCAAATAGGATGAACCTGCAAAATGCAAAGATACTTTTTAAGTAGAACTATTTTTGTCACTACTGGGAAATGCATAACCATTTGGGGCTATTTAAGGTAATCCAGAAAAAAATGTGTAATCCATGTTTGTTACTTTATGGAACTTGTGGAAATCTAGTATCAATAGTACCTGTACATGGCTGGACCCTGATGTGCTAGAATGACTGAGGGGGTGGACTAAGCAGAAAACAATGACTTGACTGGGTCCCACTATCTTTATTCTGTTTTGCCAGAATGGTCAACTGTGTTTGGTTATATTGAGCATTTTTGTTTGTATTTTTCTTTTTACATTTTTTCTAAAAAAGTGTGTTCTTAAATTCATGTCCAGCAATTTGATCTTTCTAATTCCAGTTATGATAGAAAGGGTGAGTAGCATTTTTGGGTGCTTCTCTAATTAATTTTTAACACTTTCACATCCGATGAAGGAAGAGAGATGAAAATAAAACCATTATTGAGTTGCAATCTAACACTTCATATCACCAGATTGTGATTTTTTGGTGAATTTTCTGGTGAGATTATTGAAAGTTAAAGAGGTCTAGATTATTAAAAGTTAAAAGAGGTGTATCTTTAATGTTTCATTTTCCTGAAATAGTTAGTGGAGATTCTTTGTTGTAAACTTGTAGAGGACAACTATCGTAGACGTTGGGTTTGGAAGGAAAAAGTTTATTTACTGTAGAATACATAAGTGGATTGCAATTGATTTTGGTGCAAAATAATATTTAGGTTAAAGGGGGAAGAGATAGAGAGGGGCAGGAGGGGTGGTGGGGTAAATTGGGTTTGATTTGAATTAAAGAAATGGATAAAGATGATGAAGTGAAGGTTTTAAGAATTTTGCTACTTGTGCATGCTTGCAACTGCAAAGTTCAACATTTGTTAGCTAGGTCGATGTCTGTAGCCTTTGCTTCTGTTATTTTTATTAATGTGTGTACCTTCTTTTTTTATAAAGTTTATGTTGTAGTTGGTATGCCATGGACTGATTCTTCCTTTTAAAAGCTTGGTTAGCATATAACATTCTGTTGTGGCAGGGCAAGTAATCAAGGGATGGGACCAAGGTATCAAAACGATGAAGAAGGGTGAAAATGCTATTTTTACCATACCTCCAGAGTTGGCATATGGTGAATCTGGTTCTCCTCCTACTATTCCTCCAAATGCCACTCTACAGTTCGATGTTGAATTACTGTCCTGGGTCAGTATAAAAGACATCTGCAAGGATGGTGGATTATTCAAGAAGATTCTTAACGAGGGAGAGAAATGGGAGAATCCCAAGGATCTTGATGAAGTGCTCGGTACATGAAACACCCTCTTAAAAGTTGGTTAGATGATGATTCATTAAATTATTATTAACTGTTATTTTATTTCGCAATCCAGTCAAATACGAGGTTCAACTGGAAGATGGTACTGTAATTGTGAAATCAGACGGAACTGAATTCACTGTTGGAGAAGGTAAACTTTGGATTTATTTGGCCATGTAACAGTTCTGTTTATCTCTCTGTTTCTGAAAGTAACCATTTATTCAGGTCACTTCTGTCCTGCTCTCGCCAAGGCTGTGAAGACGATGAAGAAGGGTGAAAAGGCCCTTCTCACAGTCAAGCCACAATGTAAGAACCAATTTTGTAATTTGTTAAACTCTAAAGTGGAAATCAAATAACTCAGGCAGAGGTTCAAGTCTATATGTTCTTTTTCTATTGCAGATGGATTTGGGGAGAAGGGCAAACCAGCCTCTGATGGGGCTGGAGCTGTCCCAGCAAATGCGACGCTGAACATCACTCTGGAGCTGGTATCTTGGAAGACAGTTTCCAATGTCACAGATGACAAGAAAGTTGTTAAAAAGACATTGAAAGAAGGGGAGGGATATGACCGCCCAAATGAAGGAGCTGTTGTAAAATGTAGGCATCTTATTATTTAAAAACTCATTTTTTCCCAACTCATTTTCACTCACACGTTCTCCCGAGAAAATAATTTTGCGTGTAAACTCAAAAATTTTCCTTATTTTTTAACCACACTCCAAAAACTCGTTATTACAAAACTCATTTTTCACAAAAATGGGCTCAAACAGAGCCTATATCTTAGTGTGTTTTGTTCCTTTTATCTTGTAAACCACATCTGTCTAATGATATCTTTTTATTTGGACCTGCTAGTGAAATTGGTTGGAAAGCTAGAAGATGGTACTGTCTTCATTAAGAAAGGTCATGGGGAAAATGAAGATGATCTTTTTGAATTCAAGACAGACGAAGGTATGCATATTGGAGCTTCTGCTTTTAATCTTCGTGGAATAGATATGAATGTACTTGTTTTTAATCTTTGTGATTTTTTGAACAGAGCAAGTCATAGAGGGGTTGGACAGGGCTGTAATGACAATGAAGAAGGGAGAGGTAGCACTATTGACAATTACACCTGAGTATGCTTTTGGTTCGTCTGAGTCGCAACAAGAGTTGGCTGTAGTTCCTCCAAACTCGACTGTGTTCTATGATATCGAGCTCCACTCTTTTGAAAAGGTCAGTAGAATATATTGGAGTGTCATTTCTTATTTTATCCTCAGCCCGGGATTGTTTGCCCAACTATTGTTGGTATCTTTTAGGAGAAGGAATCTTGGGATATGAACACCCAAGAAAAGATTGAAGCTGCTGTAAAGAAAAAGGAGGAAGGCAATGTGCTGTTCAAGGCCGGGAAATATGTGAGAGCCTCCAAGAGATACGAGAAGGTAATAATTCCTGAAGATTCTGATATCGTTTGATTTGATAGTGAAGTATTTTATACTGTGTATCTACTAGTCGTCTGCCTCACATGGGGGATTTTGAACTCAGGCTGCCAAGTACATTGAGTATGACACCTCCTTTAGCGAGGAAGAAAAGAAACAGTCCAAAGCACTGAAGATCACTTGCAATCTGAACAGCGCAGCTTGCAAGTTGAAACTGAAAGATTATAAGCAGGCAGAGAAGCTGTGTACTAAGGTTCGCTCTGCTGGATTATCGATTTCTTTTAATTCCCCTTTCAAATAATGGATTTCGTTTGTTTAATGAGGAAATTGCACTTGTGAAGGTTTTGGAACTCGAGAGTACAAATGTGAAGGCACTTTATAGAAGAGCTCAAGCATACATGAACATGTCCGATTTGGATTTGGCCGAATTCGATATTAAGAAAGCTCTTGAAATTGATCCTGACAACAGGTGACGTTAGAACAAACTCCTTTTTTCGACTGTTGAATCTCTAGTTATATAAATGGCTGTTGGAGTAGATTTATGACAATTCTAAGGTCTCTATTACATCGTGGAAATAGGGATGTGAAGCTGGAGTACAAAGCTCTCAAGCAGAAGGAGAAGGAGTTCAATAAGAAGGATGCCCAATTTTACGGGAACATATTTGCTAAGATGAACAAGATGCAGCCATTTGAAGCTAATGTAAGCTCGTGTGGCATTTCCATTTTTTAAATTTAAGGTCTGGAATACATATAGTTTCTTACATATGTTCTGTTAATGGTGCAGAAAACAGAAAATGGTGCTTAAAGCAGAATCCGTGTGTTGATACCAAGGCACAAGTGCTGTTCTGCATTTATATTTTGCTTATTAGTCTTTTTTTCCTATTTTTGAAACTCCATTGTTCTGCCATGCGGGAAACAACTGTATCGAGTTTGCCATGAAATTAATTGCTGATCTAAATTCTAGTATTCTTGTACCCTCTGAACATCTGTGCTACGTCGAATCTGTGTTACATCGTCTGATTTAAGGATTACGTATCATGGTCGTGATCGTGGTCGTAGTCTTGCTCTCCCTCCCCGTGCAAGTTCTCTTCCGTGAAAATTGTGTTCTTGAACATAAAAAAAAATGTTGGTTCCTTAATAAATTTAATTTCTTCTTCAATTTTTGAGATATATAAGGATTGTTTAAAATAAGTTATTCTTAAAGGGTAATTACATTCGCACCATAATTTTTGTTTGTTGCATGATATTTTAATTGCACTTAAGGTTTTTAATCTTTGTTCATTATAGTATTTATGTCCTTAACGGCTTTTCTGGTTATTTTTATGATCAAATTTTTTATTCTTTAACACATTTTGTATTTGATAATAGTTTTATGTCCAAAACTCTGTTGAATTAGAGTAAAGTAACTTATTTTTTCATCATATTTTTTAAAAAGTAAATAGGAAGTGCAAAAAAAATGCTTTCGCCTCATTTCAAAGTATGTAAAAAAATTTGAATATAAACCATCATTAAAGACGAAGTATGAATTAATGAAAGGTTAAAGATAAGAATTCGACAAAAAAAAAAGGTTCAGGAAATAATTGTTAAAATGAGGAAAGATTAAAGAGTTTAATTGTAACTAAAATGTAGTGTATCAATTAAAAATTATAGTGGCAATATAATTTTACCCGTTATCATATTTTATTTTACAACTTTAATGGGAAATACATGGAAATGACCCAAATTCAAGGTCATATTTCCAAAA